TCTTTCCCCCACCCCCAAACAACATCATTATGAACAACAACAACAACAACAACAACAATCATTTTACCCGAACGCTCAGTGTTCTCACCAGTGCCAGGGTTTTCATGCGACGCGAGACAATACCCCCACTTCGTGGGGGGGCAGTTCAAGCTCTACCAAATATCCAAACGACTCTTCGCGACCACCCAAACCCAGCTTCCCGCCCTATGACGTTGGGACACTTCACTTCGTGGCGTGCGGACGACCGTGGCTACTACACTGGCGTGGGGTACACACCCACAGAACTTGGTCACTTATTCGGGGCGCGCGTGTGCCCAGCATCCTGCAATTGTGACATACAATACATGACACAGACAGACAGAGAGAGAGACAGAGAGCAGACAGAGAGAGAGACAGAGAGAGCGGAGTTGGTCACATTTTTGGGGCAAGTTCCTGAGATCGTCGTGTTTTTTGTTGGTCTTGCGCGCGCGAATGTCCACTTTACTTTTTTTTGCAAGGGAGTATTGAAATTTGATTATGTTAGAACAAGAAAAAGTAGCTCGCGCGAGCTCATGTAACATAAATGTTGAAAAACCATTGGTTTTGTGGGAGTCGGACAGCGCGCGCGGGATGAAATTTGGACATTTTTTTTTGAAAAACCATTGGGTTTTTGATGTTTTTATGTTGAAATCGCTACGAAACCTAAGGTTCTGGAAGGATTTCGTCTTGCGCGCGCGAATGTCCACTTTACCTTATTTTTTGCAAGGGATTATTGAAATTTGATTATGTTAGAACAAGAAAAAGTAGCTCGCGCGAGCTCATGTAACATAAATGTTGAAAAACCATTGGTTTTGTGGGATTCGGACAGCGCGCGCGGAAGGACATTTTGACAATTTTTTCTTAAAAAACCATTGGGTTTTTGATGTTTTTATGTTAAAATCGTTACGAAACCTAAGGTTTTGGAAGGATTTCGTCTTGCGCGCACGAATGTCCACTTTACCTTATCTTTTGCAAGGGATTCTTGCAATTTGATCAAGTAAGAACAAGAATTTTCATTTTCTATTGTTTTTTGCAAGGGAAAACGAGCGTCAACAAAAAACCGGATCCGGGGGTAATCCACTTTTCTGAAGCTTTCGCGAAAAAATGATGAAAATGTAGCTGCGGCCTAGGCGCGGCGCAGAGGTCGCGCACCAGGGGTCCCAACAATAATTATTCTTAAGAAGAAATAATGTTCAACAACAACAACAACAACAACAACAACAACAACAACCACAACAACCACAACAACAACAACAACAACAACAAGGACGACACTGCACATAGACACCCGCTGCACGGGTGCTGAGGCCAATGGTTGTCCTTCGAGGACGACCGTTGGCCCAGACCTCTGGGGGTCGGCACCCCCCCCTCCCCCAACAACCAGCAGCCCAGCACCCCAACTCGCCCCTCGAGCTCAGCTTGGAACCTCCCAATCCTACACCGCGTGCTTGTACGACCCCATGGACGTGCGCCCTCGATGAAACGCGTGCGCGCCGGCGGGGCTGTGCAACCTGCTCTCGGGTCCCTGCGCGATCCCTACGAACCTGGATACGGTTTGAAAAAGGGTCCCTGTAGCCCTGCTCAGGGTTCCCGACTTAGGATTCCCTGCTAAGGATTCCCGACTAAAGATTCCCCTCTAAGAATCCCCCCACTAAGAAGTCCCCACTAGGGATGCCCGGCTGAGAACTCCCTGGTAAGGATTCCCCTTTAGGGATGCCCTACGAAAGATTCCCGACTAAAGTTTTCTTACTAACGATTCCCGGCAAAGGAATTCCTAGTCAGGAAGCCTTGATCGGGAATCCTTGGTGGGGATTCCTTAGTAAGGGTTCCTTCTTACATATTGCCTTAGTGTAGTTTTCTTCCTACGGATTCCTTACGAAGGGTTCCTCAGCAACGATCCATTACTGTAGATTACTTACTAAGAAATTATCACTGATATTTCTTACGAAGGACTCATTACTGAAGTTCCAGCACCAAGGATTCCATATTAAGGATTATTTCGCAAGGATTTGTTACGTACTAAGGAATCAGTACTAAGGGTTCCTTGGTAAGGACTCCTTTCGTAAGGATCCGCTACGTACTAAAGATTCCTTACCAAGGATTATTCACCAAGCGTTCTTTACTAAAGATTCCTCACTAAGGATTCCGTACTAAGTATCCGTTATCAAGATTCCGCTACTAAAGATCCTTATTTCTATGAAATCACCTTACGATGGAATCTCCACGAAGGATTCCAAACAAAGGATTTCATACGAGGGATTCCCTACCGAGGACGCCCGACTACGGAGTCCTTACGAAGGGCCCCTTACTAAGGATTCCTTACTCAGGATTCATCACTGAGGATTCCTCCAAAAAGTGCTTCGATTAATTTGCCTTACCAAGGATTTCTTCCGAACGACTCCTGAATACCTTCAACGTTCTTTATCAAGGAACCCACATCACAAAATCTGCAAAACAACTCCTTTACTGAAGATCCCGCACTAAGGAGCCGGCATTAAGAACCCCTCACTGGGGACGCCTACTAAGGAACAACGGAACAGCGGAACAACGAGGGTGTCGGAGTGGTGGAGAAATTGCAATGGTGGAGAGGTGGGAGTGGTGAGGGATGGTTGTTTGGGCGGGCAGGAAGAGACGGGAGGATGAGGCTGAGCAAGGTAATCATTATCCTGAACACCTTCATCATCATCAATATCATTATTAACATCATCATTACCATCATGTTCATGAGAATCATCACCATCATCCTCAATATAGTCACCATCATCCTCATTAGCATCAGCAGCAACATCATCAGCACCATCGGGATCATCACATTCAGCGTCATCATCAACATCATCATCAGCAGCATCATCATCATCCTCATATTCTTCCTCATCATCATCAGCATCAGCATCAGCATCAGCATCAGCATCAGCATCATCAGCATCATCATCATCAGCCGCATCAGCATAATCATCATCATCATCGTCGTCATCATCATCATCATCATCATCATCATCATCATCATCATCATCATCATCATCATCATCATCATCATCATCATCATCATCATCATCATCATCATCATCATCATCATCATCATCATCATCATCATCATCATCATCATCATCATCATCATCATCATCGCGACCACCCCCATCATCCTCGACCGGATAGCGCCAGGGAGTCCCTTGGGAATCCCTGGGAGTCCCAACGGCATCCCCAAGAATGCCCTAGAACTCGTCACGGACCCCCCAGGAATCGGCACGATTCCCTCGGAAATCCCTGGGAAACTCCCTCAGGAGTCTCTTCAGAATCCTTGAAGAACCCCCCCCCGACTCCTTCGGAATCCCCCCGAATCCATCGGGGATCCATGCGGGATTCCCTCATGCATCCTCCGGAATCCTTCAGGAATCCTTAAAAATTCTTCAGGACTCCATAGGACTCCTGAAGAATCCCCCTGGAATCCTCCAGGAATATGTTACGAATCCTCAGAAATCCGTCAGGAATCCTTCAGGAATCCCTGATACATCCGCCGGGGATCCCTCTGGAATCCTGCAGGAATCCTTCAGGAATCCTTCAGGAATCCCTGAAGACTCTTCCAGGAATCCGTAACAGGGATTGCCTCAGGAATCCCTGGGGAATCCCTTGGGAATCTTCAGGCATCCTTCAAGAATCCTGTAACAATCCCTCAGGAATCCCCCGGGAATCTTCAGGCCTCCCACGGAATCGTTCAAAAATCGCTGGGAACCTCAAGGAATCCCCGAGGAATCCTTCAGGAATCCCTCGGGCATCCTCAGGAGTCCTTCAGGAATCCTTCAAGAACCCTTCAGGAATCCTCAAGAATCCCTCAGGAATCCGTTTTCTCTAAATCCCTTTGGCATCCTTCAGGAATCCTCAGGGATTCCTGAGAAACCCCTGAGGGATCCTCAAGATTCCCTCCGGAATCCATAAAAGAAATGTGACCGGACAAGAACGGGAAGCGTCGCTGTTGTCCACTAGGTATGTGAGATATGCTATTTTGTTGGTTCGCCGCGCAGATATGTCGTGGCGTGCGTGCGTTTGCGCGTGCACGTGCGCGCGTGGAGTGTGTGCACGTGTGTCCATGCGTGGTGGTCTGCGGCACTGCCGTATTATGCCGTGCACCTGTGTGTTCTGCCGTGCTCTCCTGTGTGCACTGCCGTGCTCCTGTGCGTTCTGCCACGGTCCTGCTCTGCCGTGCTCCTGCGTGTTCTGCCCTGCTGCTGCGTGTGCTGCCGCGCTCCTGCTTGTTCTGCCGTGCTGCTGCTTGTTCTGCTGTGTTCCTATGTGTTTTGAAAGATCTGCCGCGCTCCTGCGTGTTCTGCCATGCTCCTGTATGCTCTGCCGCGCTCATATGTACTCTGTGTGTTCTGCCGTACTCCTCGTGCTCCTGCGTGTTCTGCCGTGCTCCTGCTTGTTAAAATTAAAGACGGGGCCTTCAAGGCAAGTGGTGGCCAGAAACGCAGACAGGGCCAGACGGGACCCGCGTTCCCGAAAGAAGCCGAGTCCTGAGACACGCCCTCCCAAGAGGGGCCACCTAGGGCCGCCTCACGACACGGGCCAGGGAAGGCGGACGGCAAAGCCACTGGCTCTGGCCCCCAACCTGCCCACGCCAACCATGCAAGCACTGCGAGAGCAGAGGCCACGCATGATCACAACCGAACTCGACTGCATTGCAAATACACCACGTGCACATTCAAATGCAGGAGACATAACCCACTGAACAACCACAGCCCCCCACCTCCAATGGAGAACAGACGTGCAAGGCGAACCATCACTCAGAAGGCATTCCGAACACGCAGGGAAATCACGTCTCACCAAGAGGACTAACCACGCTGCTCCAGTCACTCCTCGAATCCAAGCCTGGAGGCAGCGGCGCCCCGCCTGCAGCACCTCCAACGCTCGCTCCTTCATCCGAGGGCGCCTGCACCGTCGCGGCATCCGCTGTGAGCCAAGCGCGGGCGACGGCCGCCCTCGCACGC